ACAACCAGCTCACCACATGCAAAACAAAAACCAAATATATTTTGCTCAATAACTTACCAAGCAGTCTGTCCAAAATTGGGTATGGATACTACTGAGCTGCAATAATATGATTGCATATCGAGCTCACTCACAATATTTAAGCAATGGCATAACTAGAGCATTTGGCACCCGGGGCGGGTCCTATTTTTGGCACCCCAACCCCCACTTTAAAATTAAAAAAAAAAAAAAAATTGCGATTGGTTTTTACAATGTATTTAGCACTGAGCAGTGTTTGTATGTTAGCATGATTTTGTATGGAGCATGTTTGAATGTAGGGGTATGTTTGTATGTAGTGTTGGCGTTTGAATGCAAACATTCATTTGTGTGTAGTGTGGTTTTTGAATGCAGTGGTGTGGTTATATATAATGATGGGGTTTGTGTGTAGTATTGACGTTGAAATGCAGGGGTGTATTTGTGTGTAGTGTTGGCGAGATTGTGAGATATATGCACACACACAGATACATATATACTCGTGCAGATACATACTGACACACATGGCATCCGGCAAAACATTTGCATAGAATTCACATTAGCCACCCAGATTGTGAGATGGCCATTGTAACGGATCACCTGTACTCCGACTGAGTACCTTCCATTGACGGATGCTTCCTAGCTGACGCAGAGGACCATAAGCACCGCACCGGAGACCACAACCGCTGCAGAATCCACAACCGCCGTAGTTTAACTGGAGTCTTCCTTCCACCCTGGGTCAGCCTCTGTCCTCCAGGACCATGTGGGAAAGACCTCTCCTTCAGGAGAGCGTATCAGGAACAGCTCTGAAAAGAGCTAAGTGATTAGAGCTCAGGGGAGTATCCCCAGTGTTAATATAGCAGTTCCCTACAATAACGAGACGAGGCTACGTATTGGGGGTTAAGCAGGAACAAAACGAACTGAGGGTTTATTGTCTCTTTTATACAAGTTTTTCCACAAGTTTACCACACAGGTGGAACACAGGACACGAAGTTACAAAGCCAATCAAAACACTCTTATACACAGTTAGGCACTCCCAGATAATGTACACAAACCCTCCCCTCTGCCTGTGATACAATTAACAAACATAATGGACTAACTCAATTACTCAGTCAGAAAACTAATTGTTTCACTTTTTTTTTTTTTTTTAAACACAGAAAACACCACATATCCCCACAAACAACATATCCAAAAATCACCCAGATCAGAGCAGGGGTTAAAAAGTTTTGTGGAAGTCACATTTGACCGACCGCAAGCATAGCTTTCATGCCCAAAACAGTTCCACAGATTTAGGCTGTGCGGCCAGTCTATCTTCTCCTCTATCCTGGAGATAATTGGCTTAAGTGGCTGTGGTAACTTTATCTCCAGGTACAGGAAATATCTCTAAGTCCAAAAACCACATAAAAATACATAACTCTTCTAATACAATGCCTTCAACCCATTGCTCAGCTGCAGGTAACCAGCTACAGAAGGGGAAATAAAAACCCTACCTGGTAGACAGGTAGGGGAGCCTTTTGTTTCTCCTTTGGAGGTGGGAAGCAGCAAGCTGACTTGTCACTGAGTACTGGAGGGCAGAGAGTTGCCAATAAACAAGGTTGGTGAAACCTGTATTTTGTTTCAGGTTAATTCTCGATGGAGAGGGAATTTAATGTAAGTAAGACGAGCTAGGATTTTGTTTGCAGGGAACATTATTGTTTCTTTCATTTTGCTGCTGTCCTATTCCTGAGCGAATTTCAACAATAAAGTGCTGGATTTATGTTAAACTAAAAGACTGTGCATGGGTTCCCAACCCAGTCCTCAAGTATCCCCTACCAGTCCCGGATTTAGGGAATATCCGGTTGTCTCGAAAGTGTGTGTGGTTTTTTTGGTTTGTTTTTTCAAAAACACCTTCGACACAATTCAGTAATCCTTAAAGGACCACAATAGTCACCCGGACCACTTCAGCTCAATGAAGTGGTCTGAGTGCCTGGTCCCCCAGGTTTTAACCCTGCAGCTGTAAACATTGAATTTTCAGAGAAACTGCTATGTTTACATTGCAGGGTTAATCCAGCCTCTAGTGGCTGTCTTCCTGAAAAATTGCATTGAGCACGCAGAACGTCCGTAGGAAAGCATTAAGAAATGCTTTCCTATTAGCGTTTTTCATGCGCGCGAGGCTCTGGCTGCGCACGTGCATTCGGCTCCACTAGGGAGCCAACGTCGGAGGGGGAGGAGTGGTCACCAGTGCAGAGGGAGCCCGGCGCTGGATTAAAGGACCACTATAGTGCCAGGAAAACATACTCGTTTTCCTGGCACTATAGTGCCCTGAGGGTGCCCCCACCCTCAGGGACCCCCTCCCGCCCGGCTCTGGAAGGGGGAAAGGGGTAAAAACTTACCTTTTTCCAGCGCTGGGCGGAGAGCTCTCCTCCTTCTCTCCTCCTCCGTTCCGCCCCGGGCTGAATGCGCACGCGCGGCAAGAGCTGCGCGCGCATTCAGCCGGTCGCATAGGAAAGCATTTACAATGCTTTCCTATGGACGCTGGCGTGCTCTCACTGTGAAAATCAATGAGACAGCCACTAGAGGATTAGGGGGAAGGCTTAACCCATTATAAACATAGCAGTTTCTCTGAAACTGCTATGTTTATTAAAAAATGGGTTAACCCTAGAAGGACCTGGCACCCAGACCACTTCATTAAGCTGAAGTGGTCTGGGTGCCTAGAGTGGTCCTTTAAGGTAAGTGGCTGAAGGGGTTTTAACGAGTTTGTTTTCCAGACACTATAGTGATCCTTTAAATCCTGGACTGTTAGGGGGTACTTGAAGACTGGGTTGGGAAACACTGCCCTAGAGGACTGTGCCAATTGCAATACAGGATCATAATATATAAAAGTAAACTAGAATCCAAATTATCGTATGTAGCCAATATATATGTATTATACCATAAAGGTGACCTCCATGTTATCAGGTATATAACCAGGTCACAGTATCATATCTCCAGTTCAGGACTAATAAGCTAAAGAGGGAGCAAATACAGCAACGATTTTTATAAATTGAGCACATTACAGATGTAGGTGTAACTCTAGCTCTGCTAACCTCTCCAGTGTTAATGCAGGGATCATAAATCTGGTCATGCAACCACAGTTTTGTAATTACTTAAGACCATGTTGAAGATACTCATGGGGCAATTGCAGTCACTGTTTTTGTTTATATCATTGAAAAGTATATAATTTTAAAATAATCTTTCGTTTCTTAAAGAAACACTATAGGCACCCAAACCCAATTTACCACAGTCTGAGTCATGCTACAATGAGCTAAGCAGGCAAGCACACTATGAGGGGAGAGGGGAAAGGGATACGGCTGGGGTGACAGACAGAGACAAGATGGGGGAGAGACACAAAGAGGGGTTTGGTGGTGGAGAAACATACCCTGAGGGACGGGGGTCGGAATAGGGGCAGAGAGGGGCACGGGGAGAGAAAGACACACAGATGGACTGGTGGGGAAAAGACTTACAAAGGGGCATAAAAAGATACACAAGGATTGGGAGGAAGAAAGACACACAAAGGGACTGGGGGGGAAAGAGACATGGTGTTGGGGGGAGGGGGCGAGACACAGAGGGGATAGAGAGAAAGGGCATGAGAGGTAAAGAGACACAGAGGAGCTGGAGTGAGAAAGATACAGAGGGGAAAGGGGGAAGATACAGAAGTACTGTAATAAGTGCTTACTGTACTCTTGTTTTTCTTAAACTTGTCACTGAATACTGTAGATATCTAGAAACATGCCCCTATTAAAGGACCACTCTAGGCACCCAGACCACTTCAGCTTAATGAAGTGGTCTGGGTGCCAGGTCCCTCTAGGATTAACCCCTTTTTTTTTTTTTAATAAACATAGCAGTTTCAGAGAAACTGCTATGTTTATAATAGGGTTAATCCAGCCTCCAAATCCTCTAGTGGCTGTCTCATTGACAGCCGCTAGAGGCGCTTGCGTGATTCTCACTGTGAAAATCACAGTGAAAACACGCAAGCGTCCATAGGAAAGCATTGTAAATGCTTTCCTATGAGACCGGCTGAACGCGCGCAGCTCTTGCCGCGCGTGCACATTCAGCCGAAAGGGAGGAGAGGAGGAGGAGAGCTCCCCGTCCGGCGCTGGAGAAAGAGGTAAGTTTAACCCCCTTCCTCTCCCCAGAGCCCGGCCTGGCTTGGGAATGTCTGAAAGTATTGAGTTATTTATTTTGTTTATGCAAAGTCCAATAAAACACAATAGGGGAGACCTCCAAGATACCAGTGACATCACACCCGGTAGGAAGGGCACTAAATGAACCACTTAACACCTAACCAATTATTGATGTATTATTCCATGTTATCTCTGACAATGCTTATGATGTAATTTTGCTTTATAAGGGGCATGCCGTCCCCCCAGAATAAACATTCCTCAAGTTTTTCATTAACCCGCAACTTGTGTCTGGTGTGAATTACTTCAGAAGCGTGCATCTTTTTAAATTTGGCCAGGGGCAGATACGCAAGATAATCAATTGATTGATTCCACATCAATTATTCTTATTCTTATTATAGCCAAATTTACCACCCTAACTCCTCCCACAGTTTTTACACTACATAGACAGTAATATACCGAAACATGCGGATTGTTCCAGATTGTGTGCTATTACTTTGCGGAACGTTTCGTCGAATGGTTCATGAAATATTGTCGTTTTTGTGTCGAAATTGGTCCCATAGGAATGAATGACGGAATGTTCAAAGCTAGAGTGGGAGCTGGCAAAAGTTGAAAAATCAGGACATGATTTCTAAACTGCCACCACTCCCTCATTTTCAGGCCCACCTACACAAATCTTATATCAAAACGTTCAGCTATCCCTGCTGCCACTAAACATGTCAACGGCTAAGCCATAGTCCTGATAGTTTTCACAATATGACCATTTGTTTGCAACTCATGCCGTCCATTGACATTCATTGAAACTCCACTCTAGCCACCTCAAATTTGAAGGGCAATTTCTAAACTGCGACTGTGCCTTCATTTTTAATATTTCAGAGACATACAATGTAGGTCTGGGTCCTGTGATTCTCACAATATAAAGCTTGGCTGTAGGATTTATAGTTTTTAAAATATGACCGTTTGAAGATGGCAACTGCCACTGAAGTGAGCAATTTGGAGCAGTTTGTTTTTAAC